TCAAACGAAAAAGTGGCATGTAGGATGGCTCTTTTTGCATTTTCTTATTTTTGCAAACTTTTTTTTATTAACCTGGTTATCCAACCCGCTATGCGAGCCGACTAATCCCAGGGCGACCACCTGTTTTGCAGATAGCCCGAAGTCATCGCATTTGAACCTCCGTGGCCACAAGGGGATTTTTATTCCTCCTTGTATTTGAACCTGAGACCTTCTGGTATTTTTGCAAACTTAGTTTTATAGGCATTTTCAAAATATTGATGGTTATATTGCAATACAAATCCCAAGTACAATGTTAAAGAAAAATAAACAGCTCATTCATTTAAGTACACAAAAAGGGGGATAATGTGTGAAGTTTCTTGTTAAGACCATTAAGATCCTTGTAAGTTTTTAGAGACCTATACACACGCAACGGATTTAGTTTTTACTAACAGTCACCTTTTGTATTAGAGATTGTGTCAATGTTGTCCCTGTCGATTAGCTAAAGCCTCGACATACAACAACAAGACATTTGTAAATAGCAACATGTTTAAGCAACAACAGAGTAGTTTGTCATCAAGCTACATGTTTTAATTTGCTTTCATAATTTTATTAACCTTATCTATTTCAATTTGTTTGTAGATGTTGTTGATGGCATTTATAATGTAAATTATACTGTTGCAATTTAAAGTTTATCATATTTTGCAATGTCTTTAGTTTGATCTGATCTGTTCATTCTATTTTAACTTGATAATCTAATTGAACTTCAAGAACCATAAAGAGATTGACCTCTTTAACAAAACCAAGCCATGATCTTTAGTTCAAAATTATATATTTGCCAGTCTCTCGGTGTTTTGCTATTTGTGCTTCTTAAGTGCCATAAACGACCTATTGATCACACTAATGAAGTGACAACGATGCGTCTTGATTCATCATTGCCGCTTTGCACACTTAAATGTTTTGATTCCCCATCACCGACTCCAAAACTCGATTCTGATTCACCAACGATGGCACCATTGTCGAGTTCTTTGATAGTCTCTCTTACTGGACACAACTGAGCCACCTTCTTCACCTCTTTGTTTTTACCCCACAATACAATATAGAGACCCAAGACTATCAATATTGCACCCAATACACTGCAAAAATAACTTATGTTCAAATCTTTAAAAATAACTTGAAATCTTTAAATTCCACTGGCCACTGCAACAAGAAAAAAGAATAATTAATCGTACCTTCCCAAGTGTAGCCTTTCATTCAAGACTAAAGATCCAGCGATCGCCACAAGAATAAGCATAAGTGGATTGAAAGCCGATACAAATAATGGACCTCTCATTTGCACACATAATGTGATAAACATATAAATCAATCCAGACGCCAACATGCCCTAACAAATGTTGTAATGAGTTAATGTGAGGGTAACAAAAAGACAGTATATATGCACAAAATTAGCTCAGGTAATAAAAATTGAAGTGTCACACTAAACACGCGTTCAGTGCAATAACATTGTTAAAAGTACATACCGAATAAGCCACTGTTAGAAGTCTAACGTTCCAACCCAGCTTCCAATCTCTCCAATGTCGATTAGTGCATAGGCCAAACACAGTCGCTTGAACTGCACCCATGATCGACGTGAGAGCCGTGACCGAATAAGGGCAAGGGTATTTTTTAACCATATTTGCCTGTTCACGAAACGAAATACAAGTAAAATGATATATATTTCTAATTTCTTGTAGCCAAACAAACAACAATTTCTAGTAAAACAAATGATCATTTGTTGACCAAACTTTATATGAAAATAATATTATTGTTAACCTATTTGATGGTGCGAATATATGTGGAACCCTTTTGAATTCTCTTAAAAGTAGATCTTAATTATAGAGAGACGGGGTTTCAAACACACAAAGATATATATATATATATATATATATATATATATATATAATCGGAATCCCATGAAAAGTCAAAATTTCGGTGAGAAGCATACGAAAGTAATAATAAAATGTTGGAAATCTTAAACATAAGTTAACATGAAAATGTTAACATAAACGAGCATACATTTAAATAATTTAACATGAAATGTCAACTTAGGTAAAGCTTCGCATCTCACAAAATTTGGATTCTCTTCAAAACCCAATCATATATATAAAGAAAGAAGGGGCAGAATCATAGGAAAACGAAGTCAAAATAAGAGAATACAAGAATGGTCAAATCATATGAGATTCTGCAATAAAAACACATGCGATTATGCAACAAGGTCAACGAAAGGGTGTGTGGGAGACTTGGCCCGCAACCTAGGGCATGTGATATCACAAGTGATTTTACTTGTGAGTCAAAATACGTTTATAGATGAAAAACGTACTCTTATTCAAACAAGAACCAACGAGTTGAACAATATGAATCATATAGCAAAATCAAACTCATTGGATGGTTTTGATCGATTTTCACGGGTTTGGTTTTCACATATGATGTTAACAGTGAAACAAAAATGAATTTGTACTTTCTATGGTTTTTAACTTTTAAACGGTTTCAATATAATATATATTATGATTAGTAACATATATATATACATACATACATATATATATGTATATATACATACATACATACATACATACATACATACATATATATATATATATATGTGTATGTGTGTTTAATGAACACTGTCTAGTTAATCTAGGACTTCAACACATCTCCTTAAAGGGAGTAGATACGGTGCCCCTAGTAAGTGTATTTGAGTTCCTAACTCCTAAGTGGTGTAGCCTCTTATACCATGTAAGAGAGAGTGTGTGTATATATATATATATATATATATATATATATATATATATAGGGTTGGGTTCATGTGAGATGATACTGTTTTCGTGAGACACGATTGTTACATTTGAAACTTTACAACAAAATGTTGTGAAAGTAAAAAAAAGTCGAATTTTCACAGCAAAAATATTGTTAATGTTACTTTTACAGTGTTGTACTATGAAGTTTCAAGTGTAAAAATCGTATCTAAACGTGTTTCACGAAAACAGTCTTGTCTCACATGATCTCAAGTATGTATGTATATATATATATACAGGATCAAGTTCAGGGGAAAACCTCAAAAAAAATGAAAAACTGAAGAAAACACCCTGGTAACCGTTCATTTTGACTGTATATACATGTACATAGAAGTAATTTGTAAGCAATATGTACGGTAAGCATCTCCCTCTCTCTCTCTCTCTATATATATATATATATATATATATACACACACATATTTAGAGTTTGTTTTAAATACGTACAACCTATCACATTTGTACAACCAATGCAACCCAATAAATTGAAACATTTATGGAAATGATGAGAGTTCATTTATTATGATTTAAATATTTATGGAATATGAATACGGTTTATGATTAATACTTTATATTAGGAAATAATCAAAACTTCTACAAATTACATATTCATCATGTTAAATGAACGGTTCAGATTGAGTTGTATTGGTTGTACAAATGTAAGAGGTTGTATAATAATCCACCTCCACATATTTATGTGTGGAGCCTCTTTCAAATCACTTTCTAAGATAGCACTTACAACCTTTTGGAGTTAGCTTAACTGATAATAACATTCGGGCCTTTTCTGACTATTCTCTAGGAAGTACCCTCAACATTAGTCGAGGCTCGGACACCGATGATTAACGAAAATAGAAACATTCCAACATAAATAAAAATTTGATAAACCATATGTAACGAATATGAGAGTGGGGATACAAATGTGATCACCTGAATAATCAACCAGATGGAGTAACTGGTGCAGCTACCAATAACCAATATAGAACCCAACCCCATATTACTGCTGGAGTTTTGACCACCTCCTGCATGTCTTTGACCATGCGAAAGGTCAACATTGGTCTTCCACAAGTTCAGGTCAGCTCCCTTGTAAAAAGTCAACAACATGGCACCACCCACCCCTAACACAGTCCCCATAATCTTGGCTGCACCATGGCTTGTGTTCCAACCCAACCTTTCCATCCTGAAAACAACATCTACTATCAACTTAATTTCAAGAATTTATAACAAAAAGACTAATTTACCCTTAAATTAATATTGTTAATAATAACAATTGGTTATTGATAATGTGTGTTTGAGATTGGATCTAACATTTATCACAAACAACTGAAGTCTTCAAGTTATGTTAATTACCTGAAGCAAACCGCTAAAAGAAAGGTGATTGCGGGGATGAGATTGTTGATGGATGAGACAAACGTAGCTGACGTCAAGGACAAGGCCTTTACGTATAGATTTTGTGACAACGCACCTCTGCAAATTCAATTCGTAGCATAAAACATATGACTTCAATAACAACAAACACTTCACGTCCATTCTAAGAAACCTACACGTCAACCAATTTACTATTTTTGGAAACGTTAGAGTCCACGTCACTCCACGCCCTAAAAATTACAATTTTATACATTTTATTAATTCTCATTCTCTTATTTAAATCCGGGTGAAAAGAACAATGTTTGACTTTACTTATAATATTATAATATATTTACATTCAAAATTATGGACGGACCCAGCTATGTGGTATAGATGGCATGTGTTATCGTATTATTTCTTTGCTGAAGGGTAAAAAAAATTAGGTTTTATGAATGGTGCAACCGTATTAATTTGTTGTGTGTCACCGTATATATTGTTGAAACTACAATGATAACAAGTTTTATTTGGTAGAGTTGGTTTGTAAAACTTTTATTCCACCCAGACCCAAGTTCGAATACTGTTAGTGTCAATTTCTTAGTCAAATGGTGTCACCATTTGAAAAAATTTATGTATATTTGTTTCTTATAGTCAAACGGTGTCAACGTTTGAAAAAAAAAATCCTATATTTTTTTCTTATGGTTAAATGATGCCATCATTTGAAAATTTTCATGGGTCTGTCCTTGTTCTAAATCAATATCGACCATATTAGAGACAAAACACACTATAAAATAAGTGATTTTTATCTACAATAAAAGAAATTTTTTGTCAGTGATTACCATAGAAAATATCAATGATTCGTAATATGTGATATTTTTGGAGAAAATAACAATGGATCACCCAAAGAATTCATGAGTAATCTGTTACTGATTTGAATTACCCAACAACAATTTATCCTCCACTTTTTGTAGAAGTTGCATTGGGATGATAAAATTATATAATATGTTTAATAATATAATTAATGCTAAAAATCTTTAAATAGAGAATCTGTTATAATGAAATATAATTTTGTATAGAGATTTTAACTTTTAATTTTTTTTTATTTTAGATCAATTATAAAAAAAAACTTGTTGGAGATACTCTCAGCTACCTCGTAATTATATAAAATCGTCTAAGATTTAATTATTCGACCTAATATTATTTCAAGAAACTAAAGAATAGACCTTAACAAAATCCAAAAACTCTTTTAAGGCCTATTTATTAGCATCTTAATGAGTTTAATAGGACTCAAAGCTTATTCCATCAGATATACATGAATGTTTGATAGTAGCTTATTAATAATATATAAAATGTCTTATTCAGTATCGTTTTAAAGGGCTTCATGCAGAAAGCTAAGTTCTTCCAAATCTTTCATCGATGAAAAACTCTCTCAAACAAAAAATTTATTAATTTAAATTTAATAAAATAGAAAACATTACCCAAATAGACCACAACCAAAACCTTGCAAGAGCACCATCAATGTCAATTTCGGCCTTTTCTTCCTGAAAACAAAACCACCATTTATTATATATTTGTTCCATTTTTGGGGTTTTAATTAAATTAATAATAAATAAGTTCTAATCTACAATTTATTTTTTGTCCATAATAGCTTTTAACAAAATGTTGGTGACATTAATTCTTGTTTAAAAAAAAACTATATATTATACTTACACACAAAAAAATCCAATTGCAAACCTTATTTCTGCTGTGAACCAAGGTCCAAACAAAAATGTGATACGTTTCCCTAGTTGTCCTCATTTATTTTGAATGATGAACGTGAATTCTTTTACAATTTCTTGAAAAATAAATACATCAATCATGACGAGTGTTACATTGTTCATGATAATTATCCCGTGATTGTTTGAAACACATGGTGTGCTCTCTTTTATCCCATGTTCGTAATGTAAGCTAAGTTCGCAACCAAACTTATCATTTTATATATATAGGGTTGGGTTGCAGTGATAATAAGAATTATAGTAAGCAAGGTAAGAATTGAAGGGATCTCCACCATTGAATCAAATCCTATTTGAAGAGTTCTACTAAATCAATACTAAAGAGAAGTATCGAATCAATTCTCCTTTTAAAGCATAATTCATGGGCTGGAAGTGAGATTAAAAGTGATAAGGGTCCGGATCTTTTTTTAGATTTCTCACCATAAATTTCATTCTCATACAATCCTTCGTTTATGAATTGAGCTTATAACGGGAATTCATCTAATGCATCTCAGTCCACCACAATCTTCAATTAGTATTGATTCAAGGGTGGATATCTCTTCTTTATACCATTCGCACTCTAACTTTCATTATCAGCAGAACCCGACCCTATATGTATATGGACTTAATTATTTGCGAACTTTAAAATTTGTGAGATCCATGAGAACTTATATCTTAAAGTTTTGTTTAACTTGATTTTTTTCTATTTAAGTATAGTATTTAACTTACATTTACTTCATAATATGTTTATTTGTATTCGGTTCACAATATGAAACTATTTTACGTGTACTTTTTGTTTTACAAACACGCCAAAAATATTTACATTGTGAACTAAGTATATGTGAAACAAATATATGTTAATCGATATATATATTTACATATAGAGAGTATATTTCAAATGCAACCATATCCATTTGTACAACCAATGCAACCCAATCAATTTAGATATTTATGGAAATGATGAGAGTTCATTTATTATGATTTGAATATTTTTGAAAGATGACTAGAGTTCATTAATTATGATCAATATTTTATATTAGCAAACAATCAAACTTTTATAAAATCACATATTCATCAAATTAAATGGACGATTGAGATTGAGTTGTATTGGTTGTACAAATGTAAAGGGTTGCATAATAACTCACCTCTATATATATATATATATATATGTGTGTGTGTGTGTGTCTGTGATATTAAAATAATAGAATTCACGTTTTTTATTAATGAAATACAAAATTAGAATAAAATTAATTTCAAATGTTTATGCGAAAATGAAGGATTTTTATAACGACAAGATATGAAATTAATTACGAGAATTGAAGGACTGCTTGTGAGATACAACTCATCTTCATACCACAATTACCCAAAGAACTGAAAAGAATCCAAACCTTTCAACAAAAATTGCAAGCGGAACGATGAATGCAGTGGAGAAGATGAACCGATAAGCAACAAGAATCGGAAGTTTCATGCCGTCGTTATCCGCCAATTTGTACAGCACATTAACTCCGGCGAAAGTCGTCTGAACCGCCACCATCAACAACACTGGCTTCAACTCATGGATCACGTTGCAAAGTTTCCTCAACATCACCATTTTATAAACCCTAAAATTAATTACAAGCAATAAATTCTCTCTCAGAACTAATATTTTAATGAAATCTCTCTCTCTCTATACATACATATATATACGTATATATATATATGTGTGTGTGTGTGTGTGTTTATATAAAAGAGGAGAGAACTGGTCGATCTATTGCGTTTGTTCTTGAAGCAGTATGAAAGAGAGAAGAATGCGTGTTGTATTAATATTGAGCATGGAGTATCGCAACTTTGGAAGAATGGCACAAAAAACCCTTGGATATTTACCAATTGGCAAAAGCAGTCCTTTATATTAGAAAACGATATTTAAGCAAATATTTATTGAATATAATATATATTTGGTATTTAATTTGTTTCATATATGGTATAAATATTTAAGGTTCTTTTTTTAATTATTCTGACTTAAGTTGTAGCATTTTATTTTATTATTGATTCCTGTAACACTAAATTAATGAGATATTCTGAGTCTTAAATTTGCTTCAAATAAAATTAGATTTTGGTAGAACCGGAAAATATTATAATAAAATCGGTTTTATGGATTTGAAATATGTTTAAATGAATGTTTTAATAAACTGATTTGATGTCAGGACGCAGTTAGAGATCTTAACAGGTTTTTTAGAACACTTTTGAAATAGACGATCGATTATATCTGAAATCGTATTTAATTAAATTTTGATTTTATAGCATGGTAATAATTACATAACAACACAGTCAAAACCCGTAATTATTTGGTAATAAAATTTTAACACAAGCATAACTATTAATAAAAAGTTAAATGTCAATCGCAATCAGATTCGGTTTTCTTATCTAATGAAAGTTCCATATTGAAGGTATAATTCCGCATTATATTTGTGTTTTATTTCTAGATTAATCAGGGATCAGACTTTTATTTAATTGACACGTAAAACTTATTTTTAGAAAATAAAAGTTCATCAATCTCCTTTACGTTATGAAAATAATAACTGCTAAGCAAAACCTTATCAAAAACAAATAACATTTAAAGTAGTAACGAAAATGCAATCTTAATTAGGGAATCTCTAATTCGACAGCTAAAAATAACATCAAAAATACTAAAAATTGTGAGTATCTTGAACACACACACAAAAAGACTTAACTTCAACCACGAACTAGAAAAAAAAATGGAAATTAATTAAAATAGTTATTTTCAGATTTTGATTTCATCTCTTAGTTATTTCTCTCCTAAAATCACAAAAATGTCACTACTTTCGCAAGTGACATGTCACAACTTCGGAGGGGTCAAAGTGCGGTGAACAAAAAACCGTCAACTCGCAAAATCCGTCAACCTAACACGTTGACAACCGATTTAAAACTAACTCGTCAAACCGTCAACCCACCAACACACTAATTAGGAAGGTTGAAATTATATTTATATATATAATCTTTACATCCATTATAATTTACAATCCAAAAAATATATACATATATCTGTCCAATTTACAGCCCAACGCCCAAAATTAATCTAACAAGTCCAAAATTAATTTAAGTAGGCCGGGCGGGCGCTTTATGAGCTACTTAGTAGTCCATCGATACACCTCAATTCCATTTTGCCCCATTATTCCCTTAAAACAAATACATTGAAACAACTGGATCGAGCGTTGTTGAACGCCGTCGAACACTGTTGGATGTTGCTACTGCTGAACACCTTTGAAAAAACCTTCGACATTACGGACCAAATCATGTTACTGATTTAATTCTTTTTTACTATATGGTATATATGGCCAACAATTTTGAGTAGCTTGCAGTGGTTGGGATATTTACTTGATTTCTTTTGGAAGAAGGTAAATGTATTGATCATACAAGCAATTATATGATGTCAATGATCGATATGTACTTTAGTGTATGATTCTCTCTTGCATAGATGCTTCTAGAAGTTGGAACCACAAATGCTTAGAAGTTGCTTTCTTTCTTTATATATATAAAATTTTTGTTTTATTGCACAGATGAACATATCAAGTATGTTTATGCTAATCCGTCAACCTAACCCAACTCAACCCGCTCTAACCCGTAAGAGTTTGGATGGGATGGGTTATACTTTTAAATGGGTTACGTTGGGTCGGATGAAGATTTTTTAAACCGTCATAATTAGATTGGTTTGTAAAAATATCAAAAATCGTCCAACCCAACCCGCGTACACCCCTAGGTCAAAGTGTAAAACAAGAAAGTTTCTAAATCAGGTCCACAAATACAAGCACCAAATCAGTAAATTAGTTGCAAAACCTCTAGTTAAGGGCGGTCATTTTACTATAGGTTTATAATTTACCCTTGTGTGATTCCTATTGAAGCATATACTTGGGGGTGGGTGCAAAGCAGACGATTTTAAAGCAGACTCCCAATTCATTAGATAAATAAGATGGCCAATATCTCGTGATCCGCTGACGAACTTATTCCAAGAGAGCTCAGATCGAATCAGTATTGCAGAAGTGTCACTTGCAGACCAATATCTATTTTTCAAATTTGGTCCCATCACTTGCGGATCTGGTTTTGAAACGTTTTTATACTTTGACTCATCCGTAAATTGCAGACCTGCCACTTGCAGAGCTAGTGACATTTTGATGATTTTAAAAGAGAAATGACTAATAGATGAAACCACAAGCCAAATATGGCTATTTTAACTAATTTTCCAAAAAAAAACACTAAAAACTTCTTTAATATCGTAATAATAATAAAATAATATATATATTTATTATTATACTATTTTAACTATTAATCTATATATATAATTACAAAAAGTTGAATAAAATATTAAAAAATGTGATTTTAGATTTTTACTTTATTGACTTCAAAATATATAAGCTAACATTTTGGACCTCCAATTTTTTAGTGTTTTAGTATTGGGTTGGAGATGAAAAACACGTTCATTTTTATGTTTTTAGTGTTTTTAATGTTGGGTTGGAGATTGAAACACTAAAAAGATGGAGGTCTAAAATGTTAACTTATATATTTGAATGTCAATAAAGTAGGTCTAAAAAAATTTATATTAATATTTTATTCAACTTTTTTAATTATCTATACTACCTTATAAATCAGATTTATCAAAAGTTTTAGGGCAAATTGCATGAAAAAGTAACGTACTTTCACTTGATTCCTATTTTGGGTAACGTACTTTCAAAACTTTCATTTTGGTACTTAAGATGTAAACTTTTAAACATTTAAGTACCCGGGTAACTGGTTGAAGTATTAACCGATTATCATGCTGATGTGGCGAGTGATGTGGTATCCAACTCGGTATTATTTGCTGACGTGGTCAGTGACGTGGATTTTTTTAAATCTAAAATTAGTCTTTTTTTTAGTCTAAAATTAGTCTTCATCGGGTTACCCGGGTACTTAAAGGTTTAAAACTTTACATCTTAGGTACCAAAATGGAAGTTTTGAAAGTACGTTATCCAAAATATGAATCAAGTTAAAGTACGTTACTTTTTCATGCAATTTGCCCAAAGTTTTAAAAACAATTTTTAATGCACAAAATCTTAAAAACAACTCATAACGCATTAAGTACTACTACTTTATGCATTCAGTCTTAAAATCTCTTAATATACAATAAAAATAACATATAATACAAGTTACTAATGTACATTATTATCTTTTCTTTTCATGTTTCCAAGATACTTTTGACACCTTTCACTCATGTCTTCACCCTCTCATACCTCTATGTCTTTTCTTCATCCCTCAATGTGAGATTTAAATTGATATTCACCATGAATTATTAAAAGTTTTTTCATTCATCTTTCATTCAATTGCTCTAGAACTCTCGGTCTCATTATCAATCTCTTGATTATTTGCTCTTGGTGTGAATCGAACATATTTGTGGAGTCGTTTAAATATGTTGGATTTTATATATATTGGATTTTAAATATATTGGGTTTTAAATATATTGGATTTTAAACTGTCATACAATTTTTTTCAAATTGGAACCATAACTCTTATTTATTTAAATTGTATTAATATGTAAAGACCAAGTGTAACTTATATCATCGTTAAAATTCACGGCTCCCGTCGCATTGCATGGGTACACAACTAATATCTAGATTAATAGTTCAGTACATTAATAAAATACTATAATAATAAATACATATATTATTTTATTATTAAAATATTTGTAATGTGTGATCGGAGCTGAGTTTTTTTTTTAATTTAAAAAACCATATTTTTAATGTTTTATTTAGTGATTGGGTTAAAAATGTCTTAAAGGAAAAAAAAAATTAATGCACTTTTAATTCGTCTATAATTTGTCACCGAGCTTTTAAATAAATTATTTAATTTATGAAGACGATTATAAATATCATAATAAATTCCTATAAAAGTTGTTCAACTTATTGCTTAAAATTAGATATCCAAATTTTAATTGAATTATACTGAATCTGAATGTTCAATATCTAAATCAAATTGGGAATTTGTTAGACGATAATCTCAAATTCCTGTAAAACCGAATTGTTTCAGTTCATTTATACTGTGTTTTTAAGTAAAATATATGTGTAATTGATTCAAAATATTAGATCGATCTAATTTGTCTTGTGTATAATCAAAGGAAATATTCATTTGATAATACATGAAATTGTGATAACCTTGAGAACCAGTGCATCATACATGATTTCGAATGATATTTTTCTATCTATGGTTTGGATTTAGTGTATTGATTATACAATGTGAACATTTTTTATGTGATTGTGAAACAAAGAATACACATAAAAAGTTTCATATTGTGATCCAAATACAAATAAAACAAACAAATTGTGAAACAAATATACGTTAATCAATATATTAATTTATAGTCTTTGATAAAAAAAATCATATGAATCAATACTTTACAATAATAGTTATCACGATATATATGATTCTCAAATGATTAAGCCGCATTATATAATAACTAGAAGGGTACTCGTACAATTCAACAAGATACAACTCAATTTTAATATATTTTTTCTTGTCTCAATCAATGTTATAATACGATTTTATGTGGTTTTGAGAAAACGATAATAGTTTTATT